TCCTGGGAAGACAGTAAAGAGACTCATCTTTAGGAAGAAGTTGAGAGAGTTATGTTTACAGAGACCAAACCAGAGTGACCACTGTCCACGAATCCCTGTTCCAAGCAGGCAGAGATGCTCCTTGTAGGCTGCTCTCACCCACCCCCCAAGAAGAGCCAGGGAACGCAGCAGGAGAACATTTTTAGAAAACAAGTTGAGACTCTGGTGTCTGAAAAGATGGAAGAATGCCTCCCACTCTGCTCTTTGCAGCCAACCACCTTGGACATTATATATGATGGACACAGAAAAAGAAGCTTGGAAGGTAGACAGGAGGTAGACTGGCTGAGGAGCCAGTCTATGGATGGCACAGTGAGGAGGTCCTGGCTTTTCTTCGCAGCTCCCGGTTTGGATTCGGAAGAGGCCAAACATGGTTGAGTCGCGATAAGCACCAACAAAACTTTTTAAAAGATTTTATACATTAAAAAATAAAACCATAAACCCACGATGTCTGAGGAGGCTTTCTGTGCTTGGGAGGCACTGCTGGATAAACAGGTGGGGAGCAGAAGTCCCACCTCTGTGGATCCTGTTTTCCACAGGTGGCCTCAGACACTGGGTACTTAGGTCTCTCTAAGGCTTCCCTGCACTGCTATGAAGCCAGGTGGAGCACAGGAACGCTCTCCTGTCCTCCCTTCTCCCCCAAGCCACAGCAGCATCTCTGGAGGCCTAGTGGTTATCCTATTCCTCGGGTGCCAGCAGAGTTCAGTGTTGCTGATATGATGTGGGCATTGGCCCTCAGGAAGATGACAGGAAGGCGAGAGCATCTAGAGGCCCTGGAGAACTTGATGTCCCATGCTTTGAGAACTGTGGCACAGGGAAAGAACTCTTAACACGTCATGCCTCATAAATGTCTAGATTAAACATTTAATTCTAAAGGTTTATAAAAAGTGGGTTGTCCTTGTGGGGTTGGTCACCTCAGAGTTCTTGTGACTTTTTCTGGGAAGATGGATAAAGTGCTAGACTTTGTAAGATATGCCTGAGAGCCATGTTACTGAGGTGTAATGAGCTAATCCTGAATTCTGACTAGACCCACTCTTTTCCCAGGTATGCAGGAATTCTTGATTTGGCTTGTACTCTTTCATTAAGTGTCCCAAAACAAAACCCTTCCAGATCGTATCGGTCTTTGGGTTTGGGACTATTTCATATTAAGCATCCCTATTTGAAAATTCAAGAATGCCTAGGTTGTATCTCTTTCTTGATTCTGTGTGGAATTGCCTGCTTTATGAAAGGACATCATTTAGTACTGTTTGTTCCCATCAGTGGACCTCTGATATGGGTTGAAAATGGCTTCGCTTTGCTGAGATACGACTTTTGTTCTGTTGGACTTAGCGTTGTTAATTTTTATAGACATAAGCACCTTTTGTAAGGCCTAGTCGTGCATACCTTTAATCCTAGCACTCAGGAGGTAGAGGCAGGTCACAGGATCTCTGTGAGTTTGAGGCCAGCCTGGTCTACATAGTGAGTTCCAGTTCAGCACTAGATAGTAGCCCTGTCTGAAAATACAAGCAAACAAACAAATAAACAAAATTGTTGAGTGACCAGACACTTGAATCAGGGCCCCAGAGGAACCGTTGTCTGAGGCATAGAATGGTATTTCATTACTAAAAAGCCCAGACATTCTCATCAATAAAATTTATGCTGCTTTTATCCTCCCTGTTTCCAGGGTAGTTCTCAGTTCACTGCTGTTTTGCATTTTATATTTAAACATTGCATACTCATATTCAAAGCCCACACAGATATATTTGCGTCTCTCAAAGAAAACAAAGATCCGTTTCATTGAACCTGCCAGCGGTTCCGGGGGTGCTCAAGCTGTAGACCCTACACTGACACAGGTGTCTCTGGCACCTGCTCCTTCCCTGGGCATGTTTGTGTTACATTTGTGTAACTGCTGCACAGTGCCACAGATACCAGGAGGAAACATGGTCCCTGGCTAAGGATTTGAGGAGTCTTGAGTTCAGAGAATGCCTAAGGATTTGAGGAGCCTTGAGTTCAGAGAATGCCTAAGGATTTGAGGAGTCTTGAGTTCAGAGAGTGCCTCCTCCATTTGATTTAATTGGAACAGAAATTGAGTGTATAGTCATCTTGTCAGTTCAGGAGAATAGAGCAGGTGGCATCTGGCACAGTTTTAAGCTGAAGAAAATGTGACAATCTAGCAGATTTCCTAATCCTCTTATAAAACACTGTTCCTTTCAAACCAGCGAAACCAGAAACCAGCTGGTTGTCTGTGGGTGGAACTGACCGTCTATACTATCAGTGAGTAGAAGGAGCACATTGTGTCCTCTCCCGGAGACTGCCTGTCTGGTGCTTTCAGGTTTCCTTGCTTATCTTACTCCACAGTGGACTCTTTAACATGATAAATGATTCCTGTTGAATTTTCCAGTGAAACCTTAGGCCTGTAAGAAGTTCTTTAAAATATCCTACAAACCATGAGTTTGATAGAATGCTTCCCACTGAGCAGGGTGACTTTGTTTTGTGGCCTGTGCAGGCTGATCTGGGAGGCGCAGCCAGACAGCATGGAACTCAGAGCTCCCTCCTGTCTCCAGATCATTATCTCTTTGATGGTTCTCTCTGCAGGGAGGAGGTGCTCCCCCTCAAACGGGGTACTGGGAGCTGGCTGTGTTAGAGAAGGACTGCCTTTGTAATGGGCAGAGAGCCTGCCACTCCCAGTGAATTCTCAAAGACCACTAGGACACTCAGCTCAGTTCTACAGCAAGGAAAAACCCTCTCCTTGTGGGGTCTCCCTCCTAGCATTAGCACAGTCTTAGAGTTGGAGCAGCCAGCTGAGACAGGGCTGAAATGTCAGTGGTTTTACTTTAATATTTTGCTTGCTTTTTTTTGTTTCTCCTAAGTGTGATATATAAAACAAAAAAAACAAAACCAAGCAAACCAAATGTATGCCTTTTACCAATTAAAGTGAAGTAAAGATATGCCTTGTTAAATGCTGTTTTTCACACTGTCTTCTGTTAATTTGTTCAGCTACTTGTGAGGATCAAACCAGGGCTTCACTTTGCCCCCAGAGGTGTAGGGACAGGAAAGCAGAGTGGGTCCTGAGCAGTGAAGCTAGCATCTGGGCTTGTTGTGCTCCCCTGTTGCCTTAGCAGAGTGAAAGGACGCAAAGCAAGCAAGCAAGTAATGGATTTTTTTCCCAAGTTGCTTTTCTGTGTGAGCGCTGTTCTGAACCATGTGACTTAGAATGTTGATAAAGGTAGAGCATTGATAAATGCCCATAGGCCTCAAATGGCAAGGGCCTGAATGTTTTGAGAATTCAGAAATCTTCAAATTGTAGGATAATAAAATACACGCACAACATGTTAATATTCCCAGTGTGATATGGGATAGCACCCCACAGTCAGACACATGAATATTTATTTGAGGAAAATATGAATATTCATACCAAGAAGAATAAATTAAAAGTTAGGATATCAACGCGTTATCAGTTTTTGCTACTAAGTGTGTTTGCTTAAATTTATTTCTTTTATTTTTCAACTTGAGAATTGCAAATAAATGGGTTTGGACTCATGTGTTGAGTGTTAAGACACAGAATAAAACAAGACTGACAGGCAGGCTTAGTGGCTCACCCCTTGAACCCCAGCACTTCGGAAGTAGAAGTCTGGTCTCTTGTAAGATCAAGGTCAGCCTGTTCTATATAGGGAGTGCCAGGCTTACACAGAGAGACCCTGTCTAAAAGGAGGGGGGGCAGGGCAGGGCTGCCCACTGCAGAAATTACTTTTCTTCCATTCACTGTCTGTCAGATGAGTCAGATCAAGCTGGTTGGCTGTTCTAGGGACCAGATAGTCAGTGCGTGTTTGCTATTGTACGTGATTTGGCAGGTAGCAGGTATTTGATAGATGCTGTCTGCTAAAACTTCCCCTTACCAAGTATGGTGGCTGTGCCTGTAGTCACAGCTGTTCAGGAGGCAGAAGTAGGAAGACTGTTTGAATTCAGGACTGTGGGACCAGCTTGTGTGTCATGCTAGGTTGGAATCCAGTGAATGCTAGGCAAACACAGCACCAAGTGACAGCCTTATCCCCCCCCCCATTTTTTTTTTTCCTTATGCAAAATGCTCGGCTCAGTGGCCACAGCACCATTGTTTTGGAGGGTCAGGAGCTCAGCATTGGCCACCCTGGTTCTTAGTGTCTCCATTTTTACGTTGTAAACTTACTTCTTATTGAGAATTCAGTGTCTTTTTGAAAGTTGTCTTTTGGATGACAGGCTTTTCAGTGATGAGTAAGTGTCTTGATTACTGTTGTATCATAGTTACATCTTGGGAATATTTCACTCTTAAGTGCAGTGTGAAATGGGTATTTACCCCCCAGCTGATCTGCCATTAAGATGTCCTTCCAGAATCCCTCTGAAGGCACTTGCCTTTGAGGACAGTTAAGAAGAGAAGTTCCTCTAGCTGTGTGCTGGCGACGCTGGTCTCTACCCGAGCTCTACATAGGGGCATAGTTTAGCACACTGTTGGAGTGGTGGTGGTGCAGGGCTGCTCAGAGTCTTCAGTACCAGGTTAGTTAATGGAACTTTCAGTTCCAAAAGTTTACTTTAAAGTATGTTTTCATAAATAGATATCCGCCTTTAAATGTGTGAAGGCCTCGGGTTTGTAGGGAAGGATCATTGAGGGAAGGATCATTGAGGATTATTTGACAGTTTTGGTCAGGCCATTCCTCAGCTTTTTATACTTTATAAATCATGAAAAAGAATCTCCCCAAGTCCCACCGTCTGCTCTGATGCTGTATGGCATGACGCACAGCAATTCTAGTTTACTCCTCTGCCCTTTTCTTTCAGCTGAGGAGGATTATAGGTGTGTTCCACTGTAGGTTTTGGATCTGAGACAGAAGAATTAAAAGGATTCCCTCGAAGGATGCTGCCCATTTGCTGGGTGTGTGCCCCACAGGACTTGTTAGCGCGGGAGGGTTAGTGCACATCGGTTGCTCTTTGCATCACTGTATCTCCTTTCTCCACAGCTGAACTATCAGCAGAAAGTGGGCATCATGTACTGCAAAGCAGGCCAGAGCACGGAGGAAGAGATGTACAATAATGAGTCTGCGGGCCCAGCCTTTGAGGAATTCCTTCAACTGCTGGGAGAACGAGTTCGGCTAAAAGGATTTGAGAAATATCGCGCACAGCTTGACACCAAAAGTAAGAAATACTTACACCTTCCTCTTCTGCTTGATTTCCCCTGCCATGCTGATGTGCGTCTGCTAAGTCACCCAGAAAACAGCACTGCCACTTACTGCAGAGAGCTGCTGGCAACGGAGGGAGGCGAACAGGCCGGGGGGGATGTCACACTGGAACCACTGAAGACCACGGTCCAAATGGCCGGGATGGGACTGCAATACACTGCTGTCATCAGTGTATTGGACGGGTCGGGGCATGGACACAGATGGTGCAGAGTCGTGCCAGGTGCGAGTGCAGAGTTTGCTCAGCTGAGTGTTAGGGGAGCTTAAAAGTCCAGGACCTTAATCTGATTGCAAGACCTGGAAGTTTTTACTTTTATTGGTTTATTATATAATCCTTGTACTCTTTGAAGTAGCCAACCTTTACGTAGCTTTCTTGTAGACTTTTATGTTCTTTTTTTATATTAATTGTATTATGTGTTTGTTTGTACATGTTGTGTTTTGTGTGTGTGTGTGTGTGTGTGTGTGTGTGCGTGTACATGTGAATGTATGTGTGTGTACCACATCTGCCACCAAATTCCTGTGGAGGTCTAAAGACATTTTGTGGAGTGTGTTCTGTTTTTTTTTTTTTTTTGTTTGTTTTGGTTGGTTTGGTTGGTTGGTTGGTTGGTTGGTTGGTTGGTTGGTTGGTTGGTTGCTTGGTTGGTTTTTGAGTCAGCATGTCATTATGTGTCTTCGGCTGACCTGGAATTCACCATATAGACCAGGCTGATCTTGAACTCACGAAGACCTTTCTGCCTCCTCGGTACTAGGATTAAAGGTGTGTGTCACTATACCCAGCTTTCTTCTGCCTTATGTGCGTTCCAACTCAAGTCACCAGGCTTTGTGGCAAGCATCTCTGCCCTCTGTGCCATCTTGCTGCCCTCTTCTGTATTCTTTTAATGTCTAGTTCTTTGTTTCTGTTGCCTACAGTTATATTAAGGTGGTGATCATATGTGTGCACATATGTGTGTACATGGAGATGCCAGAGGTCAGCCATGGATATTGTGCCTCAGTAGCCATCCACCCTGTGTTTTGAGACAGGCTCTCATTGACCTGAAGTTCACAGGGAAACTAGAGTGGCTGGGTAGTGAGCCTCAGGGATTGGCCTATGTCCACCTCCTCGATGCTCAATCACCACACTTGTGGCAGCATATTCGTCTTTATTAATGTGGAGTCTGAGGACTCAAACTCAGAACTTTACCCATGAGTCATCTCTTCAGCCTCAGGTAATCGTAAAAAATTTTAGAGGTTATTATACCATTTTTGTGCTGTATCCCATTGTACATTGTTGCCACTACTTCCTATCTCTTCTCCTTTACCCTTCCTGCTCCTCTTCCTCCCCCAAAATAGTACTCCTTCTGCTCATTTGTTTCAGGACTCTCTATGGAAATAGGCTTGTTAATTTGGTTCATCATGTTGATTAAAGGCCCAGTGATGAGGCGATCTATTTAACTGCAGTGTGGAAACCTAACGGTTTCCCAGAGCCCACAGGAGGACTTCTAATCTCTCAGATGTCAGTTTAGGAGGCAGGGTGTAGACTTTTGCTCCATCTCTGCATGGAGATGATTTCAGTTTATCTCACAGGCTATCCTTGGATGGTGTGACCTGTTTCTCTTTGAGAGGGTCTGTGGATTAGCACGTATGTATTCAGCCTATAGTAATCTCTCCGGTTTTCTGTACAGGAAATTAAGTAAGGCATTGACTCATGAAAACAGAAAAGCATTCATAAACTCCACTGCAGGGAGGAATTTCCTGTTGCCATAGTTTTGCTGTTGGCAGCTTAGAAAGGACGTGCAAGAGAGACTCTGAAAAGCCATAAATAGCCTAGCCTCTTAAATATTATGTGAATGCCTGGTCCTGCTTGCAGCCTCAAAAGATCTTAAATCATTAGATGCCCTTCAGCTCTCTTTGTCCAGATAGTCTGATAGCCACCTCACAGGGTTCATGCATGTCCCAGGGTGGATCATTACTGCAGAGAACGACTGAAAAAGTGGCCTCCTCCTGGAGACGAGTGGTCAGCTGGAGCCCATAAGATGTGTGCTATTCATTTGTCTGCCTTCCTAGCCACCAAGTCATGATGTGGGACGATGTGGTAAAGGCGTCCCTGGGGTGACAGGAATACCGTTGTGGCTATTAAAGCAGTCAAATCACTAAAATAAGCCCTTTGTATATATTCAGCCCCAAATCCCAACAGTATGACAGTGGAGGAAGGTGGACCTGATTGCAAACTGCTTCTGGCTGCACAGTTGAGGATTGAATGATACATTCCACAAAAGTCCTTCTGACTGAGGAAGGTCCAGAAGAGTTTCTTCTCTGCTTTTACAGAATATACCTTCATCCTTTTTTCCTTGCTCTGGCAAAATCCCCAAGGCTAGGTGATTGGTAAAGAAAAATGGGTCAGCTCAGTTCTGGAGGTATAAGACCATGGTACTGGCATTTGCACCTGTGAAAGCCTCACAGTGCCGAGAGCACAGGTGGAGGAGGTGACACCATAGACCAGGAAACTAGGGGAAACGGGCAGGGTTGATCCCCCTACCCTGTTATAGCTGTGAGGTCATAAGTGCTTGCTCACAGTGACCTAAACCTGCAGGGTCCCATCTTTGGAAAGGCTCCACAGCCTCTTACTGCTCCCATGCTTACTGGGGCGTGGACACATTCAAACCATACCCAGGCCATAACAGGGTACCACGTGTCTTAAAGTGAATGTGGCTCAGAAAATGTTTCACTCAGAAGCCCCAAAGACAGTATGCAGAATTAGTTCTTGTATCCCAGGTTAGCAGGGCAAAAACTAGAGTCTGCAGGTCTTGTATTTAAGTCCATATTAAATAGTGACAGGCCCACATCGGCAGCAAGTCAGCTCCTGCACACTCCAGTAGCCCCTGAGCAGCCAAGGTGCTCCTGGAGGCAGGATGCAGCTCTGTGAGCGTTCCTGAGCTCAGCGTCTTTTTCTGTTGTCATGGTGAGAAATTCTTTCATATAGTTCTTAAAAGGGGGGGGGGAGCCATGTTGGCACATGTCTGTAATTCTCAAACTCAGGAGGCAGAGGCAGGAGGATCAGAAACTCAGGGTTGTTCTTGGCTAGATAGTGAGTGTGAGGCTACATGATTATTATAAGTTCTTTTCCTAAAGGTACATAAAGAGTCCTTCCTACATTGGAGCTCACTCAGGTCTATGGACTTGCAGCTTTTACCAAATTAAAATATTTTTTTATTATTTTCATGTGTGCTTCCGGTTACACACAGGTTGTGGATGTTACTAGTGTACCAAAAGCTGATGAGGCTCTGGTTTTATTTGTTCAGCTTTTTCCAAACCTTTGTGCTCCTTTTTGATAATTTCTGTATCTTCCACTCTCGGAGCCTCATTAGGCTCTCCTTGTTCTTTAGATGCTCGAACATGTTTATGACAGTTACTTCTATCTCTGTCTCCCTGGTTTGAGGTAGTTTTACTACTTGGCCTGGCTGCTTCCCTGTGAGGTGCTGCATTTTGTGAATGTCATCACTGTGGACATCAGTGAAATCCCCAGAAGACCCACTTGGTTTTCCTAAGGTTTGGCTAAGGTTGGCTACAGCTGCCTACAGGAGCCTGTGGTGTTCCTGAGGTGTGGTGTGTCGTGACTGACTACCATCCTTTAAACAGGTCGTCTCCACTGAGCCTGTTTGGGATTCACTGTCTTCCGACTGGTAGCTCTTGCCCTGATTATTTCTTGGTTTGGCATTGGGGAAGTAACGTGTATATATGCAGATTATTTTTCAGCCTAGTACTGGAGGTACCTTATTCAGATGCCGAGCCTTGCTGTCTCTGAGGGTTGCTCCTCTTGGGTCCTCAGCCCAGTACCAATACTCTGCAAGCCTCAGCTGCCTCAGACTTTCTGACCTCCATTGTATAGCAGCTTCTCCCTTCAGAGGCCTGTCCTATGCTACTGTCCCAAAAGTCTGCCTGGATAGAGAACTGGGACGGTACAGAGCACACCTTACTTACGTCCGTGCTACCAGCTCCACCCCCACAGGGACCACTGTCTAATGCCATCTTTTGTTGAATCTTTGAAACCAGTTGGGTCAGATGTTTTAGCAAATTTTCTAATTTACAGTGAGAATTATGGCTGGGACAGCAGTTCCAGATTCATTCTGATACTCGTTCATTCATTCATTCAGTCAGTCTGTCTGTCTGCCTGTTTGCCTATCTATGCATGTATGCCATCTTTGTTAAGCCCCACAAACTGCTACCTAAATTGGCTTTGGATACATTCTCATGCCCGTGAGCTAATGAACATTAGGGGAATAGGACAGATCTGGTGGTGTGGTTGGTTAATTAAGTGTTCAGAAAAGGCATGATCATGAATGCACAGTTTCGGTCTCTGTCCTTCTCTCCCTGCTGCCCTTGAACCTGCATACCCACATAGTCTGTGAGATGGTCCTACTCATCATGCGTGCTAACTGTGTGAGATTCTGCTCTGCTGTGCACTGAGAGTCGGGAAGACAAGCGAGCCGTTTCTGCTCTTTCATACTCGTCTCTACAAAGTCCACTTTCTCATCTCAGAATTAAAGACTTAGAGCAAACAAATGAGCTTCAGATAAATATGTTGTTGGCTGGAGCAGATCTCTGCAGAAATGTTTAGCAGTGAAGTTTTTTGGCTTCCTGTTTGTTCCCTGATTTGGTTGGCAAAGCCTCTGGATAATTCCACACACACTAGAGTCAAGAGAAAAATAAACTTCCCACCACACCATTTGTTTGAAAGCTAGAAACCGCCCTCATTTGAAGCTGTACTTATGGATGATTATTTGGGAAATGATTTCCTGAATGACGATTGGCCGTCAGCTCAGCACACAGGGGACTCTGAGGCCCTTTGTGAAGCATCCTCAGCGCCCTGCCCTCGGCTATTCCGCTGCAGTGTCATGTACCACCCTCAACATTTCAGCAGCACCCAAGGGCAGCTGAGCTCTGGGGTCTAGACTAGACTTAATGGGCTTTCCAAAGAACACAGAGCCTTGGGGGCTGGAGAGGTGAGTGGTGAAAAGTACGGGCCGCTCTTCCCAAAGATCCGGGTTCATTTCCCAGCACCCATGTGGTAGCCGCCTCACAACCATCTGAAACTCCAGTTACAAGAGATCATTTCTTGCATTTCCTGGGCACCATACATACATACGTGGTATACTCACATGTATCCAGGCAAAATAGTCACAATAAAATAAAGAAAAGCAGTCCTTTGTTAGGAATAAGCTTTGGTAGTGGAAAAGGATAAGACACACACAGGCCCATTCAGAGTTCTAGACACATGCGTGAAAACTACACAAAGAAAATGGTGTTTTAAGGAAAATACACGTTTTAATCTTAACTGAACAAAAACTTAAATTTAACATGTGTGCATGTATGTATAGTATATGTGTTTGTAGACATATCTGATCTATGTGTTTGTATGTGTGTATGGTATATGTATGTGGGTGTGGTGTATAGGTGTGTGTGGTGTGTGTATGCATGGGGGGTGTGGTTGTGACAGTGAACACATCTGTACATGTGAGAGTACATGTGGCGGTCACAGGAGGACTTTCGGGAGTCACATCTCTCCTCTCATCTTGTTAAGGCAAGATCACTGGTTGGTTCTGCTGTGCTGTGTCTTCAGGTGGGTCTCATGGCTCCCATCTTGCCTGGCAGGCTGGGATTACAGATGTATGCCTCTGCATCTGGCTTTTTTTTTTTTTTTTTTTTTTTTTAAGCTGGTTATAATGGTAGATACTTTTACATCTGGCTTTTTTATATGGGTTCTAAGGATTGAACTTGGGTCGTCAGGTGTATGTGTAAAGCATTTTTAGCTGCTAAGCTATCCTCCTGGACCTAAAACTTAATTTCAAACCAAGACGTGTATGTACTGAGAATCTTATATGCTAGCATTTTGCAATACTTTATCTCACCCAACCATCACTACAGTGAGCGTACCAAGCAACAGAGAAGTGATTACGTCATTGTCGAGTGAAATAGACCCCAGAGTCTAAAACTTTCCCTGTCTCAGAAGTGCTCCGTTGTTCCAGAAGAACAATGTTGTTCCCGACCTGACTGTGAGCATTGACTGATCTGAGGGGAATGTTATGCGTATGTGAAGTCTGTCTTTAGTGTGGAAATCTTAAACAAACAGCTACTTAACTATTGTGCTATTTCAGACGAGGTAAGAATTAGAGCCAACACATCCTTATCCTTCCCAAACGGCTCCAACTGTGCAACAAGCATTCAGACATACGAGTCATGTGACCCATTCTCTTTCAAACTACCACGATGGACAGCCATCTTATTTCTTAGAATATTAGGGATCAAACCCAGAACTTCACCTCCCAGACAAGCACCCTTTCACTCAGCTACACCCACAGGCTCCATAGACAGACAGATAGACAGTTTCCAAAACTCAGGCAGGCTTACATATATTCTAGCTATCTGCTCTGCCTTGACTTCCGTTTCATGCTCAAGACAAAGTTATGTGGATTCCTGGTTACTTTTCCTTATTCAGATTCACACACACAGTTAGCATCCAGAAGTCAAGATTATCAGTGGTGTCCGCTACATCTTGGAGCTGCTTCCACATACTCGAAGCCCCTTCAAATAAAAGCACTGCTGCTGACCGCTGTCTTGTCCAAAGAGTGACCGGCTGTTACTGCTTTGTTATGGGTTGTGCAGTGGGCATTCTATCATCCCTGTCTTAGCATTGGCTGTTATTCACTGTCTTTGAGTCATCCACATTGAATAGTAAACATTTTATTTGAGATTTTTGAGACAAGGTCTCACTGTATAGCCCCAAACTGCCCTCTAACTGAGTTTCTTCTTTCTCAGTGTGCTGAGTTTCTAGATTACAGATGAGTCTATGCCTGCTAAAGGATTTCCTTTTTATGAAGTAACTGTTGAGTGTGGCAGCATTCAGGGCCGTGTGAAGCTCACTGATGGTGTGAGTTGGAGGTGGTCATATGACTGTCAGATGACCTGAGTCATGCCTGGGTTTACTACTAGCCAGGTAATGGTGGCGCATGCCTTTAATCCCAGCTCTCGGGATCCAGAGGCAGGTGGAGCTCCGATTTTGAGAACAGCCAGGGCTGCATAGGAAAACCCTGCCATGAAAAACCAAACCAAACCAAAGAATTGAGCCCATCTAACTAATAGCATTAGCTCTCATGAGATTGCTCAATATCTATTCTCTTCAACAAGATTTAAAAACCATCAACTTTGTTTTCATTTCCCAGAGTGTCATCCTCTGAAGAATTTGATAGTTTTAGGGTTACTAGAAGCATAGCAAGAACATTGAGTATTGTAGTCTTAGACTATAATGAGAACATTCTTTTCTCTGGGAGCATTTACATTTGTATCATGTACATAACAACCTCAGGATTGAGGAGTTGCTTTTTTCTAGGAAAGGAAAGTCTCATTACTTTGACCTTAGGCTCATCTCTAACCTTGCAAAAACATTTTAAAACTGTTCAAAATATTAGTAAAACTGTGGGATTTCTAAAGATCCTAAGAAAAAGGCTGGTCAGGCAGCATCCATTCTATGGAGTAAGGTGTGCAGAGGAAGATGGCGCTAAAAGTAGAAAATCAAGTTGTTGTCCAGAGAACTTCACCTTCCTGGTAGCCATGCCTACAAGGCAAATGCAGTTAATAAATGTTGATGACAGCATTTTTTTTTCTAGCTCGTTGGCTTTTGCTTAAAATCAGCTTGAAACACATCAGAGCTGCCGCATTCATCTCAGAGTCTTGCAAGACATTTATAGCAGGTGATCTTTAGATATTTATAGCAGTTTCCTAACTGTAGGTAAGTTCTTCACACTTAAAACCAGCCATAAACAGTTGAGAAGGACACTTCATTGGGTTAATGGTCTTTTGTGGTGGTAATCATTAATATTTATGAGATTTTTTTTCTTGAGTACTTACATGTTGCCATGTATTTTGCAATTTTGAAGTCATTTTTGCTTTGTTCTATATTTAGCTTATTTCTTTGCATTTTTCATGAGCTTCAGAATGATGAACCTCCAGTATGCTCCAGCCTAAAGCTCAGGGCTCAGGATCATGGCTCTGACTCTGAGAGTCTCGTCATCATCTGCTTGGAGCAGTACCTCAGTGCTCAGTGGGAACCCCTGCACCAGAGTAATGTGGATGAGCTCTTGAAACTAGACTCCTCTTGGGGGCCTCATACCCCCTGTGCAGCCTCCCTGGGTGTGGCCAGGGATTTTGCCTTTTAAAGTGGCTCCCCACAAATGCTCGAATGCTGATTGTGAAAGCTATGGCCTGTTAGATGTGCCAGTGATTTTTGTCTTGCCATGTTATTTGCTAAAACACAATAGGCAACATTTACTAAAGTGCAGTCAAGTCTTTGGGTCCTCAACAGTGTGGTTGGTGGCTTTAGTCTACTCAGAGTGAATGGTCTTACGTTCTCCAGGCAACCTATTCCAGGACCTCCGACTCAACAGGCTCTCAGCTGGATGGTTTCCGACTGTTTGCGGGTACCCTGATTAGAAAAGCTTTTGTATTTAGGTATATGTATTGAGGTGGTTTTTCCTTGGAGGAGGTGAGCTTACAGCACGGTGTCGAGCCTTTAGAATTTTAGGGCACTTCTGTGACCTCGCTCTCCAGGGTTAGTCTCTTACCACTCCTGGTAGAATTGGAAATACAGAGAACTTGGTTCTTGATTTTTGTGAGGGCAGATGGAAAAATTGTTTTTTACTAGCCCTAGATTGAATTTAGCATTTCCTTCAGTTGTCAGCATAGACAGCCAGTCACCTGTGGTTTTGTTGCCAGCAGAAAATAGACATTTGATATCATATCTATCAACAGTAACATTGCTTATGCTCATGACTTCACCACACTGCAGTAGCTGCTAGGCCATTTGCTGGATCTCATTATAAATCTTTACAGCATTTGTTTACCACTTTAAATTTTAAAAACCACGTTAAATTTTTATTCCGTTTTTAAGACAAGACTCTGCTATATATGGTCCAGTCTAGCATGGAACTCACAACGTAGCCCAGAGTTGCCATGAACTTGTGATGCTCCTATCTCAGCCTCTAAAGTAGAAGGATTGTAGGAGTGTACCAATATGCCTGACAGTAGTATATTTTAGATTATTTGATGATTAGCTTTTTCATTCATGTATGTATTAACATATATACACACATATGGGATGCATGCATGTGTGGATGAATGCAGACATGCCTGCATAAGAATGTGTGTGGGTGTGGAGACCAAAAGTTGACATTAAGTATCTACTCAACTTGCTCTGCTGAAACGCTCTCTCCTCATTCTAAGTGCTAGAATTACAGCTGGTCAGCACTGACAGTCCTCTCCCTTGTGGGGCAAGCACTTCAGCCAGTGACCTATGTCCCTAGTCCCCCAGTTTGGTTGTTTGAGAGTAATTTAGTTTATGCATTCACAGATATTCTGAGAAAATGCCCCCATCTACAGACCTCATAGGCCTTCAAGGGAGAATTGGCTGTTTAAACCCAATCACCCAAATGCGTGAAAACCCCTCTCGTAGATAGGTCTTCTCTAGCCTCTTTCCTCCCTAAGTCATCTTCCAAGGCCATTCTCTTAAGGGGATGCTTCTTAAAGCTGTCTCTTACAGTCATCTCATCAGTTGTGTTTTCTTTCTTGTAAACTGTAGCTGACTCCACGGGGACCCACTCTCTGTACACAACCTACAAAGACTACGAAATTATGTTCCACGTCTCCACCATGCTGCCCTACACGCCCAACAACAAGCAACAGGTAAGAGGTGCTCTGTCGTCCATGTTCACTGGCTGTGTTTTTTCCCAGTGGTCTAAGTGGCGAGTTTGTAAAACACAACCGGGATTTAGTCTTGCACCTGTCACAGCAGCAGGACGCTCTGTGCTTTATGGAAGCAAGGAACAGCAAGTGAGCTGAAAACAAATGAAGAGACTCGGATTCTAGGTTAACAGCCAGCTGGATGGCCATGTGAATTAATCGTTTGCTTCTCACACCAGGGATTGAGGTTTTCATGCAATCTGACAAGAACAAATTGAAATCACTGTGATTGGATGACTCTGCAGGGTTGCAAAGGACCTACACCAGTGGGTGAAGATTCTACTCAAGAGGCCAGTGCTTAAAACAGGGAAACACTAATGTTTCCTCTAGAGTCCAAGGGAAATGGAACACAACAGGGAGAAATAGCAGGGAGAGTGTCGGTGGGGTCTAGAGCCATGCGCTTTCTGCATTAGGAAATGGCGAAGGATAGACTTGATAATGTCAAGTGCAAATACAGAGTTCTGCAGAGATCCAGGGGCATGCCTAGTCACTAAACTCAGAGAAGTGAAGAAACTAGGATATGGCAGACGGCTATGGAGAAAAATGGAAACTTAACAAGACTTTTTGGACGATATTGGCAATTACGGTTTGGGAGAGTCTTTCAAAATAAATGACGTCAGACAAATTGAGAAGGCAAAAGTGGACAGTCTCTCCTTCCTTACCGACTGCAAACTGGTCCAATTTCCCTTGTCTTTCTGGTGGGTGTGGATGGCTTCTTTGTCGGCTGTGGGGTGAACATGGCTGGTGCTCTTCCAGAGAGCTTCCTTAGTCCATGATGCAGCTGACCTCACTCCTGCCAGTTACCAAAGTGATCAGAAAGAGGAAACACGACGGTGGGTCAGCATGAGGCTGCAGTAAACCACCTGAAGATGAGCTCTCTGATCTACAGACTCTGGACAGTTGGTAGACTGAGTGAAAGCACCATTCTAAGAGAGACAAGTAAACTCATTCTGACCAGTCAGTGGACATTAATGGGTAATCTATGGAGAGAGAGCTCTGTCACTTGAAGAAAAACATGAGATTTGTCAGGGTACCACATTTAATACCAGGGTGGAGTTGTTGAGCACCAGCACAGTAGTTATCATTTCAGTGGCAACCATGTACATAGTTTAATTTGGGGAGGCAACGGAGGCAAAAATATTAGTCTTAAGTTAAAATATGAAGGTAATCTGTACTGTTACATACTAGGAATTTTTATTCTCTAGCTAATTGTTTTCTTCTGTGTAGATTACTTTATACTTAGGAATATATTTAAGAACATATCTTTTAAAAATAGTTTATATTTATTTAAAAATGAATACAGTTTTTTACATTTAGCATAAGACAAGTGGATTTGAGTCCTTTATTAAAACATGAATTCCACATATCAAGATATATTAAAGAATGATTTAGCAGAAAAAGATAATGACATCTGTGTGGAAATAGAGGTGATATTTGTTTTTATCCATGACCTCACTGTAGTAATGAACTTTGCCTGCTACATTCTCGATAGCAATCGATTCAAACCAGGCTTCATTTCCATAGTATCTGATGTTTAGAAATGAAGGAAACTGTCTCACTGGAAGATAACTTGAACTGCTTTCAAATCCCTAAGGTTAAAAGTATGTTTCCCAGGATTTGAGAAGTTTTGCTGGGCAACTTGTCAGAGGGCCCGGGTTTGGTTCCCAACACCACTTGGTAGCTTACTATGATCCATAACTTCAGTTCCAGGGGATCCAACACCTCTGCTGGCATCTGTGGACATCAGGCATGTAGGTAGTGCATAGACAGATGTGTAAGGCAGAACACTCAAACCATAAAATAAAATAGTTCACTTTTTTTTTAAGTATGTTTACCAAACATTTTTCTCCAAACTTCCAACTCTAATCTAAAAGGCAGCTGTCTCCAGCTGGCAGCCAGCACGAGGCTATTGGTTTTGTGTAATTTACATGTGTTAATGTCCCTAGAGAATTTAAATAAAAACTAAGTTGTGTGAGTGCAGGTTTGTGTGCAGCACAGTTAGTTGCTGCCATGTTCGGTTGTTTCGCTCTTTGGAGAGCTTCCATAAAACAAAGATGAGAAACATAAACTTCACTCCAGTTTTTCCTTTTTAAAAAAAATTTTTCGTTCATTCATTCATTCATTCATTGATTCATTTATTTATTTTTTCCAGTTTATTCACTTTGTATCCCCACTGTAGCTCCCTCCCTCATCTTCCTTCCCTTTTCTCATCTTCCCTCCCTTTTCTCCCCTTATGCCCTTTCCCTAGTCCACTGATAGGGGAGGTTCTCCTCCCCTTCCCTCTGACTCTAGCCAATTTGGTCTCATCAGGACTGGCTACATTGTCTTCCTCTGTGACCTGGCAAGGCTGCCCCCCTAGGGGGAGGTGATCCCTCCAGTTTTCTTACACCGTAGTCACACTATCTCAGAGGCCTCCTCAGAAGGCACTGACTGGCTCCAGGTGCCTGCATTTGACAACCATGACACAGTGTGTATAGCATGAATCAGAAGGTGGTCGGAAGCAGCTCTCTGTAATTAAGGAAGCTTTTCAAACCTGAAACCTAACCTGCCTTTAAATTGTTACTACTTGTGGAATAGTACTAATTTCTGTGTTCCCAGCTTGCAACACAAACTGTCTACCAGGAAACCCCTCTTCTCCACATTTTCTGTAAAGGAAACTGTGACATAATTGTGTTGTAGTTACTTCAGCCATTCCTCATCTCTAAAAATCTTCCCCAATGGCAAGTTTCTTCTCTGAAAAAAGAACACAGCTGTTGCTATAGAAACTGAGGATCTGGACATGTCAGCTATTAGTTAGCTTTATCTGAATGGCTGTATCCTTTATGCAAATTTTAGATTATTCATTTCCACATTCGTCCTTGAAGAGGATGCTAAGACAGGCTAAAGTGTTGACAGGAACTGTGATCACCTGCACCAGTACATGATGTAGAATAGGCACCTTCAACGTAAGGAGTGGGGAGGGTGTCTCCAAGTGTCGGCACTTATATTGGTGCTTGCTTGTTTTCTTGTAGCTCCTGAGGAAGCGGCACATCGGAAACGACATTGTGACAATAGTTTTCCAAGAGCCTGGAGCGCAACCATTTAGCCCTAAAAACATCCGCTCTCACTTTCAGCATGTTTTTGTCATTGTCCGGGCTCACAACCCCTGCACCGAGAGTGTCTGTTACAGGTAGGTATAGATCTACAGTGGCGTGGTGGGTGGTAGCTGTGCACAGGCCCCCTCCCCCAGCTCTGCTTTCTGGAGTACGGTGGGATGCCTGTTACTGTCATTTTTATCTCCACATCGTGTGCACAGTTGGCTGAATTCTCATGATGATGTACCTGCTGGTGTTGGCATTCCCCAGGCGTGTTGGTTAGACACCTGCCGTTTCCATTTGCACCTCCTCCTTAGGTGCTGTCCTTCATCCATGCCATCTGGTCACCAACTAACTAATTACTCATTCTGCTAATTATATATTTCTTTTGGCATGGCAAGAGGAGAGAAGAATGTTCATAATAAATAGAAGTTCGTTTTAAAAAAATTGTTGCTATTAAAAAAAAAAGCCCTTTACTCTAACATTTCTAAGCATACTCTAAGCCTTTTCTGTGTCTTATTAGACATTTGTTGGAATTGTTTCAAATACCCAGAGCATTTCCCATGCACTGTCTACTGGATTTGTGCAAAGGATTTCATACTACCATGTAGGTAAACAGTGAAACCCTTTTGACTAACACCGGGAAGTGTGGCCAGTGGACTACCACACAGTGTATTTTAAAGGAAGCTTTTTCTTGTCAAGCCTTTGTCTAAATCAGCATTGTCCAATGGAAACCGTGCAAGCCACATGCTTCTGTTTTTAATAGGCATTTTTTTTAATTTTGAAATTATAATTTAAGTACATTTCTCCCTTTTGTTTCCTCCCTCTAAACCCTACTATATACCTACTCTCCTTCAAATTCATGGCCTCTTTTTTTCTTAGCAATCATAGGTAAAAGTAATTTTGACACTATTTTTGATTCAGTGTTTTGTTTTATTTGCTAAATATATATGTTATTATTTCTACATTATAATCTGTAATTTAAAATTGATATCGATTGTGACCCTACCCTTTTGTTGTTGTTGTTGTTGTTGGTGGTGGTGGTGGTGGTGGTGGTGGTGGGGTTTTTTTGTTTGTTTTGGTTTGTTTCAAGACCAGGTCTCACTGTGTAACTCTGGAACTCACTCTGTAGACTAGGCTGCTCTTAAACTCATTGTGATCCACCTGCCTCTACCTTCTATATTCTGGCATTAGTGGAATGAAAGGCACACACCACTACACCTAGCTGACTGTGACCTTTCTTTGGACTAAGTTGAATGCCTTTTAGCTAGAGCACATCTTGATACTAAAGTTTCATTAAATGAACTTGGTCTTAGGATTTCATAACACTTATAATTGAAAAATATAGTTACATACCCAGATTATTTCAGGACATTTTGTGAAAGTTTTGTCTGAAGCTTGTGTCAGTTTTTAATTTCATATAACTAAATTTTAGTCTGATTTAACACTCCTCATCACATGTGCTCAGTAGCCACTCTGGACTGTTAGCCGCCTCCAGCACTGAGGGCGGTGTCTTGGCCTTCCTCAGAGTTTTCTTTTGTTCACACCTCACACACAGATACATAAAATGCTGAAAAATGCTGTTTTTTTCTGTCACTCTTTGGAATTCTTACATAAGGACCCCACCTTTTCTTTTTAAATTTAATTTATTTTTTTCATTTTGATTACATTTATGTCTATGCACCATATGCCTGCCTGTTGCCAGCAGAAGCCAGATGAGGGCGTCAGATCCTCTGAAACTGGAGTTATGGGTAGTTGTATACTGCCATGTGGGTGCTGGGAATTGAACCTGGGTCCTCTTGAAGAACAGCCAGTGCTTTTAATTACTGAGCCCGTGAGAGCTCATCCTTTTTTTTTAAACATAATTTTTTATTTATTACAATTTATTTACTTTGTATCCTACCTGTAGGCCCACCCTCATCCTCTCCCAATTCTGTCCACCATCCCTCATCTCCTCCCATGCCCCTTCCCCAGTCCACTGATAGTGGAGGACCTCCTTCCCTTCCATCTGACCCTAGCCTATCAGGTCTCATCAGGAGTGGCTACAATGTCTTCCTCTGTAGCCTGGTAAGGCTGCTCCCCCCTCATGGGGAGGTGATCATAGAGCAGCCACTGAGTTCATGTCAGAGACAGCCCATGTTCCCCTTACTAGAGACTGAGCTGCCACAGGGAACCCATTTTTTTTTAAATTTATTTATTATTTATAAAGTATTTTGCCTACATGTGTGCTTGAGAACCAGAAGAGAGCACCAGCTCTCATTGTAGATGATTATGAGCCACCATGTGGTTGCTGGGAATTGAACTCAGAACCTTTGGAAGAACAGCCAGTGTTCTTAACCTCTGAGCCATCTCTCTAGCCCCGGAGCCCATCTTTTTAACCCAGCCATGTGTGATGCTCATGGGAATTCTGTCCTGGAAACAGGACACCCTGGTTCATGACATGAGATGGATGGCCTTGAATTTTGTAGTTGCCAGCCAGGCCTCAAGGCCTAACATTTTTCATTAGTGTGAATATTTAGCCGTTTAAATCCAAGAGAATATGTCAATTTGTAAACTTACCAAAAGAAGTCAGAGACAATTTTGAGTCAGTGACCTCTGTTTTCTGTTGTTAACTTAAGACATGGAATTGTTCTGTGTCCTTCCCACATGGAATAGGCGTGTTTTCTGAGTTATGGGGGCAGGGTGTCGGGAGGTGTCTGGAGGCCTAGGACAAAGGTCAGCTGTGCTCTTGCATTCTTTAGTGTTGGTGAACAGGGAAGAAGGAGCTTATTTTCTCATGAAAATAAATGTGTCCTGGAGCAGAATGGAATATTTGTGCTGACTTCAATGTGGTCTGTGGGTCCTTGTGTGAATTTTTCCCATGTCCTAAAGGCCCCTTCAGACTACAGGGGATTGTGTGTCACACCCTGTTGTTAATTTAGAGCAACCAGTGCTTTTTTTCTCCAGAGGTAAGGCTAGAACCCAGGGCCTTAGTCATGACAGACTGAGCTAGATCTCAGCTCTTAGATGTCTTTGAACATTTAAAAGTTCTGAGGCAGAGATGTAGCTCAGTGTAGAACACTTGTCTGTCACACATTTCCAGCCCCAGTCCTCTTGGCCCAACTTCTCCACTAGAAACACTCATTTGTTGTTTTGTTTAATTAACATCTGTTTGGTGTGTGATATCTGGATGGAACCATAGTTTTATCAAGTGTCTTGCTGTAATGACTTGGAAGACAGGGTCAGTATAAGGAGACATTACAAGGATATTTAACCAAGAAAACAGGACTCAGCATATTGTGTGTTGTAAAACAGATGTATGGAAGTTAGCAGGAAACAGGGAGCCAGTTCAGGAGTGGGGAGTAGGTGTGTATCCTAAAGACAGTGATGGAAGGGCATCACTGCGCTGTTAGAGTAACCCTGGGGAAACAGTTACTCAGGGTCTCCGTGGAAGACAGTTTTGCCATCCGCTTATGTCTTTATTTAGTCCTGAACCTACCATGTATGTATCAGAGAGAACAAAGACCATTTCCTGCCATGGATGCAGAGAATGTGTGCTCAAGTTTGCTGGTGGTTGATCAGAGTGCCCTCCAGCTTCTGTTGTTATTGCCATGAGCTTAGTTGCCTGGTCCCAGCTGATAGATCTGATTAGAAATGACAAATGAAAAAGACAAAGGAGCTGCATTAAAGTAAAAATGCACTGAAAACCGTCAGTCTGTGATTATTGTCGGAGGAGGTAGAAAAGCCATTCCCATCAAAGTTACAGATTCAGTAAACTTAGCAGCCTGGGGTCATCTGATTTGAGGGCACCTATGCAACTTCACGATTTCCAGTATTGAATGCTGGCTCTAGCATTGACCATCAAAGGTTACAAACACCGCAAAAAGAGACAAACGAGTGCCTCATAATGGCAGAGTGCCACCCCACCCTTGTCCCTTTCCCCAATCAAATTAGACTGTGATCAAGCCTTTGAGTCAAGGCGCTGTAAGGAAATGCAGATGATCAACGAGCAGATTTATTCTCCACAGAAGTTACTCTCTCAGCAACCAACAGCCAAGTTTCTTCAAAGATGCATTGCAAGAAAGAAAATCATAAGAGAATACACAGATGAACAGTGAGTAAAGATTACCTATCAGGATAGCGTGCATAAGGCCCAATCCGTTCGTTAATATTGTCCCTCCCAAATAATCAGTTTCAATGTGTGGATCGTATTGAAACCATACTCTGTCACTCATGCACATGTGGACATCTGAAGCAATTGGAAATTGGACCACAAACTTGATGAAATTAAGGAATTATTAATTTTAAAAGTGAAAGTTATAAAACTAATAATATTAAACAGAATGACCTATGGTCTCCAAAACAGAGGTTAATTTGGATTTGTAGCTACATTAAGAAAACGTGTTACTTCTCTCAGAAAGGTTTCCATTTCCAGTAGTTAAGATAGGATAAATATTGGAGAGTAAGTGTGATGTGTAGTGCAAAGGACACTTGGAGCTAGACCAGCTGGATCTCAAAGTTCCCCTCTGCAGCAGATGGCTGCCTGTAGGACCTGTTTAAAATCCAGCTAGTAGGCAAGCGAGTGTGGCACGCACACATCCTCAGCCCTGCCTGGTCTCTCCTCTCAGAAAGAAGGCATCTGGGTGGTTCATCTAACGAAGAAAAAGTCCAAAGAGGCGGGGGATGCACCAAGCCACAGTTAGTCCTACAGCTGGCCTTCCTGCTGCTCTTCGTGCTTAAAACTCCGCAGCCCAGCCTGCTGTCTGGGCCCTTCAGGCCTGCTCTCTCAACCCCTCCTGACCCCTCTCCACACCTGACCTCACTCTCAAGAGATATGTCATCTCCCCAGACATGTGCTGTGCTGCAGCTCTGCTTGAGCTGCTTGTGGGCATGTTGCCCCCGTACACATGTACACCCCATCTCTGCTTATGTTGCTTGCTCTTTGGTATACATTCTCTCTCTCTCTCTCTCTCTCTCTCTCTCTCTCTCTCTCTCTCTCTCCCCCACCTTTGGAGCTCCATGAGCATTGCTGGGGAGATGAGCCCTGTTGGGATCCAGACAGATGAGCTGCATGTGAGTGTGTTAGTAGCCAGGGTCCAGGTCTTCTGCTTGCAAAGTTCTTCAAATGTTGTTCTTTCTAGCCCCAGCTGCTCCCAAAAGGGACACACCTCTGGGGTGTGTTCAGTGTTTTCTTGTTCTTCTTCTTACTGTTATTATTATTATTTCTTTGCTTTGCTTTTTGTGACAGGGTTTTTCTGTTGTAGCCCTGACTATCCCGGAACTCTCTCTGTAAACCAGGCTGGCTGGCCTCTGCCTCTCAAGTGCTGGGATTAAAGGCATGTATGCATCACCACTGCCCAGCTCTGTTATCATCTTTTAGTCCTGTTTATTTCTGCTGTTTCTGCAGTCCTGGGGACTGAGCCCTGAGGCCCAGCACATGCTGTGCAAGTGCTCTACCCCGAGCGGCATCCCTAGGCCTCTTTTCACTTTTATTCTGAGATAAGATCTCACTGGGTTTTTTCTTTTTATTTTTTTATATTAATTACACTTTATTTGCTTTATCTTCCAGATGTAGCCCCTTCCTTCCCTCAACTCCTCCCTGCCCCTCTCTAAGTCCACTGATAGGGGAGGTCCTCCTCCCCTTCCATCTGACCCTAGATTATCACGTCTCATCAGGACTGGCTGTAATGTCCTCCTCTATGGCCTAGCAAGGCTGCTCCTTCCTCAGGGTGGGTGGGGAGGTCAAAGAGCCCACCACTGACTTCATGTCAGAGACAGTCCCTGTTCCACTTACTAGGGAACCCACTTGGATGCTAAGCTGCCATGGGCTGTGTCTGAGCAGGGGTTCTAGCTTATATCCATACATGGTCCTTGGTTGGAGAATCAGTCTCAGAAAAGACCCCTATGCCCAGATATATTTGGTCCTTGTGGCACTCCTGTCCTCTCCAGGTCTTATTAATTCCCCCTTCTTTCATATGATTCCCTGCACTCTGCCCAAGGTTTGGTTATGACTCTCAGCATCTGCTTTGATACACTGCTAGGTAGAGTCTTTCAGAGGCCCTCTGTGGTAGGCTTCTATCCTGTTTCTTGTTGTCTCCTACTTCCAATGTCCATCCCATTTGTTCTTCTAAGTGAGGATTGATCAGCTTACCCGGGACCTTCTTGTTTAGCTTCTTTAGGTGTACAGATTTTAGCATGTTTATCCTATCTTACAGGTCTAGTATCCACTTATAAGTGAGTATACACCATGTGTGTCTTTCTGCTTCTGGGATACCTCACTCAGGATGATCTTTTCTAGGTCCCACCATTTGCCTGCAGATTTCATGATTTCCTTGTTTTTAATTACTGAGTAGTATTCCATTGTATAAATGTACCACAATTTCTGTATCCATTCCTCCTTTGAGGGACATCTGGGTTGTTACCAAGTTCTTTTTGGCTGTTACAAATAAAGCTGCTACGAACATGGTTGAACAAATGTCCTTGTTGTGTACTTGAGCATCTTTTGGATGTATGCCTAGGAGTGGTATAGCTGGATCTTGGATCTCACTAGTTTTACAAGCTGGTCTTGAACTTATTCTGTAGCCCAGGCAGACCTTGAACTTGGAATCCTGCCTTTGCTTCCTGAGTAGCCAAGCTTACACCGCTTCACCACCAGGTCTGGCTTCATTTTTCTGTCCAACTTGAGGTTGAAATCAATTGTTCATTGCTATTTACCTGCTTCCAAAATTCAAGCTTCTTCTTTTTACTTTTGTTCTTTTCATTTCTGGAGGGTTTTTTTTTGGTTTTGGTTTTTATTTATGTATTTGTTTGGTGGGGAGCATGTGCCACAGCATATGGGTAAAAAGTCAGAGGACGGCATACAGGAGGAGGTTCTTCCTTCCCCTCTGTGGGCCCTAGGGATCAAACTCAGATCGCCCCGCTTGGTGGCAAGTGCCTTTACCCTCTGAGCCTTCTTACTGGCCCCTCCCAGTAAGGCTCGCTTTGAACTAGCTGTGTAGCCAAAGGTGACTTTGGCTACTAGTCCTCTTTCCAAGTACTGGGATTTCAGGTACACCCCATCATGCCGGCCTCTAATGTTTTAGCTTCTTACTCTGCTTTGTTTGCATTAAGACTTGTGTTCAGCTATCCTTAGGGCATCCTTGTTTAACAAAGTGCTATTTTGTACCAAGATGTATTACTTCATTCAAGGTCTTTGATGCTACAAACCAAGTAGACACAGCCTGGTGGTCGCCTCTTAGACCAGGAGAGTTATATGGATGATCCCATTATCAGGTACCAAAGGGAAAGAGGAGAAAGTTGTAACCTTTCTTGGAGGTTAGGGTGGAGTCATCAGGGGCTCTGTTGTTGATACAGCTTGCCTTCGGCCCTGGCACTCTCCATGCAGATCATGGTGTTTTCTGGAAAGTTAAGGATTTGTACCCACAGTTTCCCTAGAGATGAATGCTGGGCACACTCTGGATCTCCCTGTTGTTTTCAAGAACTTTGGAGAGCATGTCCATAGAGGAAAATGGACACACATTTCCCTGGTAGAATGCAAACTTTAAGTCAATGATTTTCTGGAAGTTTGAGAGCCAGTGACCTTTCTAAAGTCCCTTTCAATACTGGCCTTCCCCCAGCCCACCTGGGTGGCAGGTTCTAGTCCTCCATGCTGCTTGGTGAACAGGTTAAAAACAGGTGGCTCATTGCCAAGATACAAGACAGCAAAGGAGGCTAAGGTAAATGTGGCTGAGCAGAGGCCCTTTAAAAATCCCTTGAAAATAGCAAGAACCACTTATAGTTAATTTTAGGGATTCTAGGAGTTCTAGCCAAACTTCGTTTTGAATTGAGGCAAAGTGTTCTGATAAGCCTAAACCAGCTCTTACCATCGAGAGTTTAGCATCTGTAGCATCTAAGTCAGTGATCCTCTTAACCTTGTGGGACCGTGGAAGTTAGTGCAGCTAAGGAAACACTGTGGGAAAGGTGCCTTTAGGCTCTCATCTCCTCACGGTCTTCCTGAGGATTCTGTTTCTAATATTGCAGACCTGATTACTGTCTGTATCACTTACCTCCCATCTGTGGTGAATCACAGATAATTACATGGTAAAGACTCAGTTTTTTCCCCTCACAGCTCGTTCTAGAAGCTTCTAATTATTGGTAGGTGGCCTGAGTGTGTTTGTCTAAAGTTTTGTAGTTTAATAAATAGATCTATGTACTGTTCCCGGCTCAGGGGCAAGTAGACGTGCTCACAATCACACCCCTGCTGAGCATGTGCCTCTTCTTAGTTAAAATAAAACCACAGCTGTTTCCTGAGGAGGAATAATGGTCTGAGTGAAATTAGCAAGAAGAGAAATTGCCAACTTTAAGATGAAAGATATTACCCGTTTCTGGATTCTCACAGGATTCCTTGTAGAAAATCTACCAAATCTGGATTTCAGTATTTTCTGCTCAACTTCAGAAGGGGGAAAGCTAACATGATCAGATTAAAATTACACAGCTGTCAGCAGTCAAGCCAGACAGTTCACACTGACAAGAAAAATTGCCTTTGTAATAGTGTGTAATTAGGCCCTAATGCATGCACAGGGGAGTCTGAGGCGGCTTCTGCAGTTAGAGCATGGGCGTTGGCTGACACCTCCCTTTGTCGTGAAGTGAGCCAGGTCCCTTTCTAAAGATAACTTGTGAAAAGCTTATATCATGTCCAAGCTATCTCCTGACAGTATAGCTTTTCCATTTCATCTAAGTATAAGCCTTCACTTGTAGATTTATCTATCCCAATCCTGTAAGATACAGAAAATTTTCTAAAAGTTCCTGAATATCTTAAAGTGAGACCTCCCACCCCATTTTGGGGAGGGTGAGACTCGACGTCATTTTGTGGGCTGCTGTGAAACTCAGGATAGCTTAAAATTCACAGTCATGCTCTTGCCTCAGCTCCTGAGTGCCAGGGTTAGAGACCCTGACACGCACGACCTTTACAGTAAAGAAAGCAGGCAGCAGAGGCCTTCAGTTTACTTTGAAAGCACACGCTCCAGTTGTACCCTTTCTCTTGGGAATTTAGATAAAATGTTTTACAGTGCACCGTTTCATGACTCACTTCTAAATCTTATGAAAAGGGGGATCATCATTTTTAGCCATGTTGGGCTTGGCTGAGGATATCAAGCCTGATCTGGAAAACTGATATAAGACAGAAAGCTTCTATTTCTACCCAGCTTCTGTTGTTTTAGGAAATTTTTAATATTTTTCTCTTTGAGATTAAAATTAGTAGATTGGTATAGATGTTTATGGTCATTTTTCACAGGCTTAGTTTTTTTAGCTATGTGTATGCAAAAGGAATGATGGGAACAAGCTTTCTTAGGTCAGTTTGACTTACAAGAAACAGTAAAGGGAAAAGCAGAACATTTGGACCAAAGAATAGCTCAGATAAAAACCATGATTTTCAACTGTGGTAGTTCTATAAAAATCATAATTACTATTGATTTTTTAATTTTAAAATTATGCTTTTAATCTGGCCTCATAATGCCTCATGGACCAACAGATAATATTTGCTTTATTAGAAATCACTCATTTCCCATAGGTCATGTATCTTCTGACATTTTTCTGATGAGCTGTGTCTTAGCTGCAGGCTTTCTGTCTCAAATGGGGACACATGTGTGTTCTAACAGAATCTCTGTTCTGAAAGGTTATGTGATGATAGCAGCCTCCACCAGAAATAGTCTGTAGGTATTTAAAATAGCTTCTAATCTCTTATGTGGAACCTTACAGTAAGCCGCCCCCACCCCGTGATAATGTGGCTATTTGACTCTAAGCCTTTAGGTGGAAAATAGGGTCTGCCTGGAAAAAAGTTCAAGCCTAATGGTTGATTGAAAAAGTTGACTCGTTAAGCAGAAATTTTTATTCTTTCTTGCACAAAATGGGTGATTGTTTTGCCTTTAGCACATGTTCCTCCCTTTCCTTAGAACTGAGGAGCAAAGTCAGGGCCTTGAGTGTACACACTAGACCTGTGCTTTGCTACTGAGCTGCAGCCCCAGCCCTTTGTCACAGCACATTTTATCCCCACATTGTAATAGAAGACAGACATACTGACACACGACTCATCCTTTGTTCTTTGCTTTGTGTCTTAGCGTGGCAGTCACCAGGTCCAGAGATGTGCCTTCTTTTGGACCTCCCATCCCTAAAGGGGTCACCTTCCCCAAGTCACACGTGTTCAGGGACTTCCTTTTGGCCAAAGTGATTAACGCAGAAAACGCTGCTCACAAATCCGAAAAGTTCCGGGCCATGGCAACCAGGACCCGCCAGGAATATCTGAAAGATCTGGCAGAAAAGAATGTCACCAACACACCCATCGACCCTTCCGGCAAGTTTCCGTTCATTTCTCTGGCCTCCAAGAAGAAGGAGAAGTCTAAGCCTTATCCGGGAGCGGAGCTCAGCAGCATGGGGGCCATTGTGTGGGCCATTCGGGCCAAAGACTACAGCAAGGCCATGGAGTTTGACTGCCTCCTGGGAATCTCCAACGAGTTCATTGTCCTCATTGAGCAGGAGACAAAGAGTGTGGCTTTCAATTGCTCCTGCAGAGATGTCATAGGGTGGACCTCCAGTGACACTAGCCTCAAAATCTTCTACGAGCGGGGAGAGTGCGTGTCAGTGGAGAGCTTCCTTAGTGAGGATATCAAAGAAATTGTCAAAAGGCTGCAGGTGAGACTTTTGGAGAAATTCTTGTTCCTAAAGGTTCCAGGATACCAAAGCCAGGGCATAGCAGCTTGGGTGACATCACTGGCTGCTCTGGCAGTTCCCTTAATGGTGGGTGAAGCAATACCATTTACCTGATGCTCCTTTTCCCATCATTTCCTGAGAGAAGTAGCAGCAAAGGGAGGGAAGTCACATTGGCTGGGGGTTTGTGTTGGAAAGTCACCGGCATGTCACCGGCACGTCACCGGCATGTGACCTGACCTCACTGCCTTGGTGATTGGTGTTGCTGTAGTTGCTGAAAAAGCTGTTAGATTATCTGCCACCGTGGATTTTTTTTTAAGGGCAGTTGAATGCAGAATACAGGTTCTCTTTGCCGCCAGCTCTCTGGGGGTCTCGCCAAGCTTTCCCTGCAATGTCAGGAAAGCCATTGGGCCCTGTGGAGGCAGCCAGTGTGTTGTGTTTGCCTCCTGGCTAGAGGCTAGGGAAGGGGAGTCACCAGCCTGCCCCCCAGCCAGCTGTAGGGCGTTCAGGAATAACCCAAGGCAGTATTTTTCCACCTGAGTCTACTATTTGATAACCTGGAGCACGTAACCCAGCACCTCTCATTCCCTTGTCTAGTTTGTTTCAAAAGGCTGTGAATCAGTGGAGATGACTCTGCGAAGAAACGGGCTCGGACAGCTTGGCTTCCATGTCAACTATGAGGGCATCGTGGCGGATGTAGAGCCCTACGGCTATGCGTGGCAAGCAGGTCTGAGACAGGGCAGCCGCCTGGTGGAGATCTGTAAGGTGGCGGTGGCCACCCTGAGCCACGAGCAGATGATCGACCTCTTGAGAACGTCTGTCACAGTGAAAGTTGTCATCATCCCTCCCCATGAGGACTGCACCCCACGGAGGTAGGTGTGAGTTGGCCGCTGAGGTCGGGGCTCCTGGGCCACATGGAACATCTGTTGATAGGCAGCTAGGCAGCCAGAGAGAAGTTGACCTCTTGTAGCTCCTCAATGGAAGCCCTCCCAGGATGCAGCTTGGTGAGTGGCCGACAGTCTAGGATCTGCATCTCTGGGAGAGTAAAGCTGCTGCTGCAGACACAGTATCTGCAGCACCCATCTTGAGCCAGTAAACACAGAGCACATCACACATTGGCCTGTCTGAATCTTTTCCTTCGTGTTCCGTGATGATTGGACCGTCTTCACTCCCATTTATCTCATTGCTGTTTAAAACCCAACTGTTGTTGTGAGCCCTACTGTCTGGGTCTGGACAGCTGAGCCTGACTTCCAGGCTTTTTCCTGGCAGCATCTGTGGGGCCAGGAATGGGCTTCAGATGAGTCACTGCTTTGCTTGATGCTTTAACAGCTTGTCTGTAGCCTCCTAGAGGGAGGCCCCAGAAGCCCCTGCCTGCTCAGCCAAGCCAGCAAAACTTCACTTCTTTAAAACTTCACTTCTTTAAAACTTCACTTCTTTACTTCTGGGGAAGTTGCTTGCTGGAACAAAACTAATCAGCTATTTTTTCCCCCTTTAGGTTTTTGCACATTATTTTTGGTTGGTTTAAAAAAAGTCTAGCAGGGGTGAGGGATGGTTGGCACATGCCTTCAGTCCCAGCACTCAAGAGGCAGAGGCTGGCACATCTCTGGGTTAGGGGCCAGCCTTGTCTTCAGAGTGAGTTCCAGGACAGCTAAGGCTATACAGAGAAATCCTGGCTTAAAGAACAAAAATCAAGAAAGATATGTTGTTTATTTTTAGCCACCATTTTCTAAAAATTTCTCTTAAGATTTTTGTAGTTAATTCTTAGACCCTTTAAAGCCAAAACATAAGCTGGGCTGTGGTGGTACAGAGCACCACAGCATCACGAGGCAGAAGCAGAAGGATCTCTGAGTTTAAGGACAGCCTGGTCTACAGACTAAGTTGCAGGACAGCCAGAGCTGTTACATAGAAAAAAAAACCTGTCCAAAAAAAAAAAAAAAAAAAAAAAAAAATATATATATATATATATATATATATATATGTATATAATAGATCCAAAATATAGTTCTTATTTGTCCCCTAAAATGCCCAGTCCTATGTGTGTCTGAGTATTCATGGACTTAAGATTGGCAAATAGTAGAATATAAACTACTACAGTGGATAATTTGTGCTACTTAAAGACTAAGTAGACTTCAGTTAAAATCAGTCTTTGTTCCGAGTAGTACTTATTTATGACACTTACCAGGTGGGCAGCCTGGGGGGTCGTGTCAGACACAGTAAAGTCCTTTAGTCTGAACAGGTTAAGAATACTCTCTTCTAGATAGCCAAGTGTTTGAAGAAACAAAAATATGTACCCGCACAACTTTAGTTTAGCTAATCTGGGATATAGGGTCGGGGTGAGGGGCTGTCCTGAAGTCATCCAGATGTATTCCCTGTCTGCTGAACGCTATCATCTTAAATCTTCTGCTCATCTGGCACAACACATGGTGGCTCAGAGGGCAACTGGGCTCTTATCTAGTATATTCTCCAAGTGCCCTGCACTGCTGTACTGCCCGCTGCCCTTTGATCTCCCTAAACAGGAGATAGTATATAATCAGGAAAAAGTATCCAAGCTCTCAGAGTCCCAAACACTGGATCTGCTCTTCTTTCTAGGCTCCAGGTTTGTGGGGAACGGAAAGGAAACCATTGGTAAGAGGGTGGACACAATGGAGCTGCCTCCCTTGCTGCCACTGAAACTGAGTGATTATTACTCACTGAAACTGAGTGAGGAATGGTTTATTGACAGTCTCATCTAGGCTGGGTTTACCTTCTGTGGAGTGTTAGGAAATACCAGTGGCTGAATTTTTACTTCAGTGTTCCAGGTCTTCGGGGAGAAAAGCAGATACATGAATTAATGCATTTAATTCTTTTAGCAATCCTATGAAGTGATTGTATGACCATTATTCATGTTTTTAAAAAAACAGATAGGGCCAGTGTGATGACTCAGTGAGTCAGGTCACTTACGCCAAACCCGATGACTAGAGGTTAATCCCTAGATCCTCCTTGGTAGAAGGAGCTCCCACAAGTTGTCCTCTGACCTTGACCTACACACATAGTGGCACACTCCCACAGTAAACAAACAAATAAATAAATGGTAATTTTACCAAAAAAGAGTGGCTTTTCAAGCTCCCCTGGCACTGACTCCAGGCTGTAAGCAGTACTCTGTAGGTTGGCACAGACCGTTGCCCTATATGCTAGTATAAATCGTGGATGTGCTGGTAAATTTACTCAATTCCTGGTTCATGGTGTCACTTTTTCCCCACTGGCCTCTTTGAAGCTGCCAACGTGACATGTGTAAAGGCAGAGTTGGACCAGATGGGACAACCTGTTCTGAAATCAGTGTGGGCGACTCCCACACACCGGAGGGAAGGAGCCACATCTATCTCCCACTGGAAATCACGCATGCCATCTTCTCCAAGCTCACACATGTCAGGTGCTGAGCCGGGAAGCCGGGTGAAGGCTCAGTTCTAAGCCATGGCCCTCCCGCCCCTCTGTGCAGGTGGGAAATTGTGCACTGTGCAGATGCCTTCGCAGGCCTGAAAGCTGTTTGCTTCTACAGAAGTGGCTTCAAAGGGAACAGTTGAAGCATTAACACCTCGTTACAGTTTTCAACAAAATAAGAGAACACTCTTCTGTCTCTTCTCTGCACTTCACACTCCCACTGCTGTTTTCTCAGCAACTAATTACTCTGTTCTCTGACTAGTCACTGTCCTCTTTGTGAGCCTTCCTAGGCGTCCCTGGGGTGAGGGAGGACAGGCCTTCCCACCTCCTCGAAGCCTCGCAGCCACCAGGACCTTGAAAGCACCGTAGGCAGTCACACAGTGACCACATAGCAGGTAGACTTAGTGCGTGTGCGCACTTTTCATTTTGAAAAGGCAGCTTTTAAAAAATGGACGTTAGCTTGACAACCATACCCTTCAAAAGATAACAAATATAAAATCAAGGACCCTTTACCTTTTCTTAGAACACAGGCCAACCCGCCCACAAACTGCTTTCCAACTCTAGTTTGTTTAAGAGAAGGGACACAAAGCAAAGCCAAACCTCAGAACCCCTGCCTTGTGCCTGGTGGGGCCTTGTTTCACTTTTCCTCAGTGCCCTGTGGCTGCTTCATATTTTAATAAAATGGTGAGGCGAAGGGAAGGCGCTGCCCACAGAATAACTGGACAGCCAAGAGAACAGCACAGTGAAAGCAGCGTTGAGGGCCTCATAGCTCCAGAGTCTGTGACCACTAGTGTCTGTGACCTCTGGGACTCCAGCCCGTCCACTTGATAAGGGAAGTAGCGGCTGCAGGGTGGATGAGGTGCCCCCGGTGGTGCGGCCTTATTCTGCAGGGCGCTGCTCTGCAATCAGGGGCCATTCAAGAGCTAAAAACAGTTGCATAAAAAGACCAAATTATCTTTAGTACTATTATTTTTCTTGCTGGGAATTTGAGAGTCAGATTATCTTTTAAATAGGAATGGGTTGCAAAGTAGGGGTTTTTTTGTTGTTTTTTTGTTTTTGCTTTGAAAGTGAGAGCATGCCGCCTTTGAGCTAGAAATCATCCGCTCCAAGTCTCATTCTCCAGATGGGATTCCATTGAAAGGAGCTGCATGCGGCTTTAGAGCCAAAAAGTCAGAGCTCCTAGGGACCAAGCTGCTCATAAACATTAGGATTTTAAAATTAGGTTTCAGTGGGCCTTTTGGTCACATTTAGCACAGAAAGAGTAATGCCTGCTGACTGTAGCTCCAGTTGGGGTTCCAAAAGGTGCTGACTTTTCCTTTTGTCATAGGATACACTTTACGTGAGATGTGTTCGTTGTGGGTGAAGGATGTGTAGAATTCTCCAGTTATGGACTAAAGTAAGCCAAGCCTGCAGACATGCTGTTCTGTTGGTTAAAGTTGACCTGCCTCCTCCCAACTCCAAGCTCCCTAGGCCTCTGTGCTCATCCATAATGCCAGTGGAGTGCAGGATAGCTCCCCCATCATGGACTTGTACTATAGCTAAATTAGGACCCATCCCGGTTGCTGCAATCTGTCTTAAAGTTGTCTTCACCAACACATTTTATTTCCAGGAGACCGGGGAAAGCTTTTCATGACTATTGACATGTGGCATTAAAAGTAGCCATTGGCTTTGTCCTTCAGAGTACTGTCCACTCTTGATTCCTCCCATCATTCTTGGGATTTGCAGAAATAGGTAGGATACAGGCCAGTAAGGTGTACCCCTGCCATGAAGGCAGTAGGAAATGGCAAGTGGCTGCAGTTTGATTCACTGTGAACTGCATGAGATTCAGAAAAGCACGACATATCTCAGTAATTTTTCAGTGCTAACTGTATGTCAAAATGGTACAGTTTTATATATTTGGGTAAAGCGAGGCACTTTAAATAAATTGCATCGATTTTGTTTCATTTTCTAAAATTAAAATTCCAACTGTGGCTCATCCATCCGCTAGCCCTGGTCTCACTCTACATTCTCTCCAGAGCCTCGTGAGTGAGTCTTCACTGCTGCTCTGTTCACCCTCGCTCACATCTTCCCTCCTGCTTCTCAGTCCTTGCAGTCCCTGTTTAAAAGGAGTTCTTCAGTCAACGATGAAATTCTGACACACAGGTTAATACTGTAGCAGGGATAGAATTGGTTTACCTACTTAAGGACAGACAGAATCTCCCTCCCATTGTTTAGATATAAAGAATGGAACGTGGGTTTCATATCTGAGGACTGAGGTTTCAGGTAGAGCAGAGTGATGGGACTTGTGTCACTGAGCATTGATGTCACTCAGGAAGGGAGACTCCTTCGTTTGGAAAGAAATGAAATCTGGATCACATTATGCTTGGTCTTCCGGAGGGCTTAATAATTGTTGCATTTCTGCAATTGGTTTTCTCCCTCCTAAGCTAACTTTGGCTCTCTGATTCGGTTTTGGGATCTTTCCTGATTTAATTTCCTCAGTCCTACATGGGCTCTCCCAGCCCATCTTGAACTGCCCTCCCTCCCCTTTCGGTCCCCAGTTGGAGTTCTCAGTGGCGGAGAGGCTTGTGTGTACTGAGCTACCTGCAGCTGTTCCAGAGCCTTCCCCTCCTGAGCTCCCCATCTTCCAGCTGACCTGCTCTGTAGATTGCCACAGACTCCTCATCTTGGTCTGCACAGTTGGGACTGAGGAAAGGAAAATATTCACGTGGTTCTTCTGGTCCTAGGTTGTGAAAGGGAAGTTCCAAAGATGGAAAGAGATTTCAAGACTGTTAATGGGAATGAGCATGTCTCCACCAACACAAGGCAGACTTGTTTTTTTCCTGCTTCTTCCTTCTAACAGGAGTTGCTCAGAAACCTACCGCATGCCAGTGATGGAGTACAAGATGAATGAAGGTGTTTCCTATGAGTTCAAGTTTCCCTTCCGGAATAATAACAAATGGCAGCGGAATGCCAATAAGGGTGCCCACTCGCCCCAGGTTCCATCCCAGCTGCAGAGTCCCATGACCTCACGGCTGAATGCTGGAAAGGGAGACGGGAAAATGGCCCCTCCAGAAAGAGCTGCCAACATTCCTCGAAGCATCTCCAGTGATGGGCGCCCACTGGAAAGGAGGTGAGTGCCCTCTCAAAGGTCACTCTGGCCTGAGCCCCAAATGCAGAAGCACTAGCTGTAGGCCTGCCTGTATTTCTCAGAAGTAACACTGAAATTGCCTTGAGTAGCTTCTAGAGCATGGGAACTTTCCCAGCAGAGTATCCAGCCCCTTGCAATGCAAGTTGTATGTGCTTTGCTCTTTAATTTCTATGTGATTATCAACAGAAATCCTTACCTCATAGTAGTGGAACTGGATTAAAACTTAGATAGCAGATCTTAACGTGATGGTGATGTATTATCATCTTCAACATTCTTCATTGTTTTAGGCAACTTACAAGATGGAAGCAACGGGATGCAAGGGTTTGGTTGAATATCTGTTTTTATCATTTCATTTAAAAAGGACTTTCAGAAGAGAAACTCAAACAGCACAATAAATTTCTTATGTCTTAGAAGGTAGAAGAAGGCAGTGTTGAGAAGGCAGCACATGGGGAAGAGCTTAGACAGTTCACACCAGGGTAATTAAGCAACAGGGACAAGGATGGAGGTCCTGGAACACAAGGAGCCAATTCTAGTCAGACTGAAAGTCAGAATAGATGCTTCACAGAGTCTGCCTTGAGGAGCAGTTGTGTTTAACCACCTCAAAGTGGGGCCTTGGTCTAACCTTAAACTGGATCAAGTTCTTTCAGATATAATAGCAAATGGATCTAAGGTTTCAGTCATGGCTCTGCAGATGCAGTCCCCTCCATGAGTGCCATGGAGGTGGTTTTTATCTGAGTTTCTTGCTGGCAGTTTCTTGTGTCCACTCTCACTTTCTTCTCACTTCTGCTGATACTGCTCACACTCCTGACGTTCCTGTGGAAGCCTTTGGAGCTGGAGTGTGGTCTGTGTTCCAGAACTGTGGTGGGTAGGAGAGTCAGGCCTTCTCCAGCAGGAGACAGTGCCAACAACAGTGTCACCACTCATCGTTGTGTGCTCAGGGTCATTTGAAAGTGGAGGCCTCCATGGTATTCTAGCTTTGAGCTTGTGTAACACTTAGCCATCTTGGAATACTAGAATGCCACATAGACATGCTTGTCAAAGCTCACACATAAAGGTGGTCTTCTAAATCCCTCACTGACCATGAGGATGTATGGACAGGGCCTTGCTGTTTACCCCAGTGAGATTCCTCGCCCAGACTCACTCCATCCTCATCTGGACCCCTCTTGTTTTCATTATTTTTGAGGAGGAAATGCCTCCAAGAGAGCTCTGAATAAATTCTTTGTTTTACTCACTCCAAACTTGGCTCTTCCTGAGGTGTGTTAACCGTAATTCATAGTTTGGCTCATGTTTTGAAAGATGAACGTGGGAAGTCATTGTTTAAAGGGCCCTCTTTTCCCTGCCAGCCCCATTTCTTCCACAGAACCATCCAGAAGCTTTCACACGTGAAATCTTTTGAGACATTTCCTTTCACAGTGTTCCACGTGGTAGAATAGTGGAATGTGCTCTGATTCTGTGTTGAATCTAATGTGCAGCAGAAGCAAAGCTTGTGAGAGTTCAGCAAACTGCCATGAAGAGGCAGAAGTGTTTTTGTGGCTCGATGGCTTCAGTGCTGCCTTAGTCAGGGTCTCTAGTGCTGTGACAAAAACCATGACTAGGAGGAACTTGGGGATGAAAGGCCTTATTCATCTTATAACTCTCATAACAATTATAAGAGTTATAACATATTATAATTGTTATAACATAACAATTCATCACTGAGGGAAATGAGGGCAGGAAGCTGGAGGCAGAAACTGAAACGGAGGCCTCGGAGGCATGCTGCTTACTAGCTCGCTCCTCATGGCTTCCTCAGCCTGCCTTCCTTCCTCTCTCCCTTCCTTCCTCCCTCCTCCCTCCCTCCCTTCCTTTGTCTGTTTGTTTCAAGACAGGGTTTCTCTGTGTAGCCCTGGCTGTTCTGGAACTCACTTTGTAGACTAGGCTGTCCTCAAAGTCAGAGATCCATCTGCCTCTGGCTCCTGAGAGCTGGGATTAAGGGTGTGCTACCACTGCCTGACTCACCCCCTTTTCTTATACACCAGGATCACCAGCTCCAGGCAGAACCACAGTCTGGTGAAGGAATTTTCTCAATTGAGCCCATGTAACCCTGTTATATCAAGTTGAACAAAAACTAACCAGGACAAGTGCTTAGGGGATACATGGCTCTCTGTTTCTGAGAGTGACTTGTAGGATTCTAGAGGAGCTTCCTCCGTATACCTGAGCCTGCTGCCTGTCTGAGCCCCACCCAAGGGAAAGGACATCTCCCTAGGGGAGAGCCAACCACCACAAAAGAAACCTTGCTCTTTGGCTTGTGGGAACAGAAGGGACAGAAGTGAGGCTACTGTATGTGTGGGGGATACTGAGTCCTGCTCACTGCCCCTTCTGGCTTCAAACTATGTGGGATGTTCTCTGAAACCCCTACTAGAATCCCGGATCCTAGAATATTTTGTGAAATCTCATCCTGTTCTGGCTGGTTGGGGGCCATCTCCAGTCTAAAATGTATGGTAGTCTTCTATTGTAAAACCTGGATCTTTCCTCACAGCCGCTTGATTCCTTCCCTTCGGCCCCAGAACGTTGTGCTTCGCTGTGGAGAAACCAGCTCTCCTGAAGCATAAGCCAGCAGCAGTCATTAGTACCCTCTCCTGCACAACACGTGCCTGCTTGCACGCATGCTTGCATGCCTGCTTGCCTTGCTCGAGTCCAGCACAGATTAAAAAATAAAGTGTTCATTTACTACGTACAGAAGCCTACTCTGTACCTCATGGTTTGCCGAACCACAACAGGCCCAAAGGTCATTTCTTAAATTTACAGAACAGATTGTTTTCTTTTAATACTTAAGGACATAGTCTGTATAACAATAACATATGTGGGTGTTTGGAATTCTTAGCAAGAAGTTTTCAGCTGCATAGGGTTCTTTGTACATTGTTAGGAGAAACCAACATGTTAGAAGCAGTGGCGCATTTAGCATTTGAAGTCTGATCCGTTTTGTTTGAATGTGAGAATTTTATGCTCCCCAGGTGTCCATCTGATTACAGAATTTTATAGTGTTTTTGGACTGTATTTGTTAACAAAATTAATATTTACTTAGCAGGAATAGGTAACACGATACAATTGTGGTTTGGGCTTCAGGTTTATCTAGAGTTTAAGGGTGGGAGTGGAGTAAAAACAACTCCCGCAGCACACTGGACTTGCTTCATTGCTGAATTTAAGCATACCAGGGGATTAGTCATAACTCTCTAGATCTGAGTTAATATACTCAAAATCTAACAATGTCAAGGGCTTTGGATAAGCAGCAGTCATCTTAGCATATGAAAGAGTTTCCCATTCTACTTGTTAAATAAAATCATCACAAACCCTCACTGTCTGGGATTAGATCTCATTGGGCCGTGATTGCGCCGACACCCTCTCCCTGAACTCAGTTGCTTGAGTGGACACAGGATCTTTGCATCACAGCACATGGAGTTTTGTTGGGGCTGCTCTGGCCAAGTCCATGCTGCCACCCGTGTTCTCAAAGCCACCAAATAGTGCTCAGCCCTACTTTATTGCCAACATTTGCCACCCCCTCTTCAGAATGTTTCCTTGTTGCTATGGTTTGGATGTGTGTTGTGCCCCTGCTGCCAAATGTCCGTCTGCAAAGACTTGGTGTCCGGGTGGTGTTTTGAGGGGGGGGGGAATGCCATGAACCTTGGATATTTGAGACCCGGTGAGAAGTCTGTATAGGCCATTGGGGTAGAGCCTCAAAGAAGGTTGTGGGACCCCTCCCTGTTCCTACTCTGATTTGTGGCTTAGAATGTGAGCATTCTTTCCAACACACACTTCTGCCAGTCTGCACCACACTCGAGAGTTAAATAATGGGTTCAGTCCTAGAATTTTGAACCCCAGAACTGTGAACTCGAAGTTTTTCCTTGTAAGTAGGCTATTTGCTGTACTTTGCTGTGGTTATCAAAGCCTAACGAGTACACTACATCGTCCTGAACCTAATTTATGTTTTAATCACTGACTTTTTGCTCCTGCCTTCTCATCCCTCAGTTTCCCCTCCTCATTCTTTTATCCCCACAGTGATCATCGTCTCTAGATTGACATCCACTTCAATGAGTCCATCATCACCTGTATGTAGGAAGTCACTAACTTGAGGATTTTCTCTTGGCCTCTTTGCCCTTTTGCATATTCATACACCTCTGCTAAAAGTCTGCACCTATATGTACTATAAGTACTAGTGCTTCATACTCAAAATTCAAACTTAAGTTCTCCTTTGCCCTTTCCAGTTCCTCCCTTCCCATCATACCCACCTTGATGAACCACTTTGTCCTCTACTCCAGTATCCCAGCCTGACCTAGGAGTCAGTCAAAATTCTCTGCATTCTCACTTCTACTCTTACCTAGTAACCTGCTTCAAGATAATCCCCATCCTCTCCTGAGTTCTCTGAGAGAGAGGAGAGAGAGAGAGTGTGTGTGTGTGTAAGGTCACAGCTTGTCAGAGGACGGTTTCTTAAGCCAGTTTTCTTCTTCCACCTGAGAATCAGACTCAGGTTGCCAGGTGTTTTGGGCTTTATTTGTTTTGTTTTGTTTTCCGAGACAGGGTTTCTCTGTGTATCAAGCCCGACTGTCCTGGACTTGCTCTGTAGACCAGGCTGGCCTCTGACTCACAGAGATCCACCTGCCTCTGCCTCCCAAGTATGGGGGTTAAAGGCGCGTGCCACCATGCCTGCCTTTCAGGTTGCCAGGCGTATATCATAGGCCAGCAAGCACCTTTATGCACTGAGCAGCCTCACTTGCCCTCCCGCTCTTTTTTGAGGTAAGGTCTCTAGATGAGCCTGGACGTCGCTGACTCAGCTATAGACTGGCTGGCCCATAAGCCCTAACGATCCTCTGTCTCTGCAGCCCACAAGGAGGCTTACAAGCATTCCTTGGTACCTAACTTCATGTGGGTGCTGGGGATGGCGCTCAGGTCCTCAGGTTTGTGCAGAGGCATCTTACTGACTGAGCCTTCTCCTCAGCCCTTGAGTCTCC